CTCAGGCCGAAAATGAAAATAAACTTTAAACCAATTATCTTTAATATTGTTGCGTCAGCGAGGTCACGGGACTAGTATCACGCCACTTCTTCTCTCGAACCTTCGTGAATTATCGGGATATTACTAGATTGGGGGTAGGCTGGTATATATAAGATGGTCACAACGTGACGGGAACAGTGTAATGAGTAATTGAATAAAGTATTGTTGAGCACGAGCACGTGAGACGTTCTAGCGTTTGTGATGGAACGACTGTTGAAAATAAGTGTATCGGTAATGTTATTAAGAAAGGACTTGTGTCGCTAAAGTTTCGTTGGAACGAAGTTACGGAAAATTAACTAACGACTGGAGGCGTAACAATATCATATAAAGTATAACTAGTAGGGATGGAGCAAATGAATTCCTCCTCTCGCTATGGATTCCGTCAGTGTGACCGAATTTGTAACTAGAAAGCAACTTTCAGAGTTTCCATACTATAACTCATAACATTGTCTACCTGTTTATACTTAATTTTATTGTTTTATTGCTCTTGGAACCTTCTCTAACATGTTTGGTGTGACAGGGATTCGAACCCGCGATCCGCACATTGCGAGGCGAGCGCTTTAATCACCTGGTTATGCCATGCCAATGAAAACAAGAAATATGGTACTCAGTTTTATATAGTATTGTATCGAAAATAAACGAAGGTACGTTTATTGGCGGTCATTTGATGTTATTTATTCATTATCACTGCCTGGAGAATTTGTACCAAGTTGACTGGTTTGTTCTACTTATACAGAAAATGCGGATTTACTAGTTTTACTTTAGTAGGGCGATCTGATATGATAAACATATATTTCAAACTCTATAAAGTAGTTTAATAGCAACTAACGTTTCAAGGCCATTTGGAATTACGAATTTTAAAACGGTGTTTCAAAGAACTTTTAAACACTGGAAATGCTCAATTATAAATTGTTTGAAATATAAAAATTACGAAAAATAGTTGTTGATTAAACTGATTATTTAATCCAGTTTGTTAACCAAATTCCAATTATTGCACGTTTTTGCGTTTAAATTTTGATTACTGGAAAACTCGAAAACGAATACAAACCTTATTTCCAACCAATTCTATCAGTCTCAGTTTTCGTAGTCGTGAAAGGATGATAATAATTTGATTGAGTTCGTATGGTGTTATTAGTTAGGCTTTTATCTCTTTTAGGGAAATATACGTTCAAATGGAAAACATGAGTACAGAATTAGAAGATTTGGTTAAATTAAATTTATACGACTTACTCCAAGTTTCATGTACGGCCGGAAACAAAGAGGTACGAAAGCTGCAACTTAGTGTTATTAATAATTTTAATATTAGTATTAGGACAAAAATAGGAGTAATAATAACACGGAATCAGGTTTCGTTCTAATCCTATAGAATAAATAGTATAATGAACACGATTTAGATCTTAACGTGTTGTATATATCAATAAAAATGAAAACAAGAAAAACTGTTGCGTTACCACACAATGTTAATTACTAAAGTTAATGATTATATCAGTTAATTAGTAGTACTAGTATTCAGTATTAGTATTAAAAAGTATAATATTAATAGTATTACAGTTACTACTAGTACCATTTCACTAGCTGTATTCCGTTATTTGTTTCCGTTCCATATGAAAAGCAAAATGCTCAAGTAGGTGTAACATATAATTCTCTCTGTGCTTCTTTACTGAAATAATTAATCGTACCCATCATTTTACTGTTACTGTTAGGAAGTTTAACGAATGATAAAGCTCCTGGGTCAAATGATATTTGCCCTGGGATTGTGAAGGAGGTTAAGGATTGGGTATGGGAGCCACTATCTTGCTACTATTTTCTTCAAGTACTTAAATATTGGGAAGGTGCTGGAACCAGAACTTAAGCAGAGTCGAAATGGGCTAATGTTCTTCCTTATTTCAAGAGAGATGATAGAAATTGTTACAGTAATTATAGGCCTATCACTATTACTAGTATTAATTGTACAACAATGATGTGAAAATGTTTTGAAAGTTCGATAAAAGATGCTTTGCAAAGTCAGTTAACAGTTTAAAATTTTTTTGGATAATCATTATAGTTTCACTAGGAGAAAATCTTGCATTACTGATTAATCTTTTAATATTCTTTGAATAGTTAACTGCTTGTGTAGATGTAAGGGTGTGGATTTTGTGTATTTGGATTTTCAGAAAGCATTTGACAATGCGCCACATAAAAGGCTTGTTACAAATTTTATCTCTGTAGTGTAGGTGTGAGAAATAAATAGGTTGGCTCATTGAATTGAAAACTGGCTAGATGGAAGAAAGCAGAGGGATGTTATTAATGGAATTCAGTCAAGCTTGATAAATGTCAAAAGTGGGGTACCTGAGGTGTCATTGGTAGGACTTTGCACTTTTTGATTTACATCAATAATATAGATGAAGGAATAGTCAATAAATTATATAGATTTCCTGATTATATTACAGCTTTGGGTGCTGCTGGCTTTGTAAAGGGATTTGGAGTATTTGGTGAGTTGGGTGAATAAATGGCAGATGGCTTTTAATTATAATAAATGCATGTGGGGCATCACAATTTGAATTGTGAGTATAATTTTGATGGGAATAACCCTAACAGGTTCTATGATACCAATGTATAGAGAAGACATGGTCTAAGAATATCATTTATCAAAACCCATGAATTTTATTAACATAAGCATAGCTGGTGATAACATAGTTTATATGGCTGATATCATGGCATTTTCATACTATGTGCTAAATTATGCAAAACTTGCCTTTATATGGCTTAAATATTTTTTTTACACATGAAATTATATTATCAAACTATGATGGCAAGTTTTATGTTAACTTTATATACCTTAATATACATGTGTTTGTCATAATTTTCAAAGTGCTGTATAAAATTGGTAATTTAAATACTGTATGATGTAAACATTTCCATTAAATGTTTATATCTACTTGTTATAGATTGGCATTCTGAAATTTACATATCAAGAATCCTCTAAAGTTATTCTTTCAATTTATTTACAGTGTATTTCATAAAGTTATTTTGGTTTAGTTTGTCAATTAGGAAATAATTGAAACATTGTTGAAAACTTTGTTTCTACATTTACAAACAAAATAAATGATATAATTATGGTAAGAGTTCCATATGGCACCCCCACTCAAT